TTTTTTTTTTTAGTTTTTTCAATTTGAGCAAATTTTAGACTTACAGAAGACTTGTAAGCATTATACACAGAGTTCCCACATACCTTTCAGCCAGGTTTCCCTTATGTGCATGCATTTTAAAATTGAATCCTCACAAAATCCTATGAGGAAGTTACTATTATTATCTTCATTTGACGGACACTTACTCTTAGTCATTATACAATCCTGGCTCTGGATATGTTGCAACCACATCCCAAGGTGGTCTTTTATAAAGATTTTCCTTCTTATTTTTAGCTGTTTACTGCAAGAACAACTTCCAGGTATACCATCCTTAACCATGCTTCTCTCTTCTTTCCACATTTATAGTGGTTAAACATCTCTGCTAGGATAAGAAGTCTTCTCAAGTTTTTCCCATCCCCGTGGAAGGAGCTAGTGAGATACTGCTGCTCAGCAGCCCTGAGAAGATCCCTTCTATTGAGGGTAACAAAATGCAGCTTTTCCTCTCATCAGAAGGATGAGTGCTTTAAGTCAGAACTGCATTTTGGGCTCCAATACTAAGATCTTAAGGAGGAGGGCTGAAATTATAAGAATAAATGGAAAATCTTGTATGTGCCAATGGTGAAATCAGGCAAAGGAATTACCCTCTGTGAATGTGACAATAGCTGCCAAATGGAGCTGGCTATGGCCTCGTACAGAGCTAAATAATTGTATGAAATAATACACAGTCAATAAATATGAATCCCATTTATTGAGCACCAACGATGTATCAAGACCTGGATCATGTGTGTAGTATTTATTATCTCATCCCTCACAACAATCCTAATGGTTAAGTGTTTTCAATCACTGCTTTTCAGATAAGAAACTGAGACTCAGAGACATAAAAATGTCAGGTTTTTTCAGTTGACGTTTGAGAGTTCATGGTGTCTCTTTCACAATATGATGCTCAAATAAAAAAAAAAAGAAAAGCATAGATACTTATCTTTAGGACTTACCTTTATTTGTTGAATGAGTGTTTCATCTTCCGGTACATTAGGGTCAATTGCAATGACAATTCCTTCATAGCCATTATTATTCAACTGAATAAGTGAATTGCTCAGGGCTCTTTCCAGAAGATAAAGGACAAAGATGAAAACAGAAGTCTTAAATGACCCCATTGCTTCACATCTCCCTTTGAGTTCTCTCTGTGGAAATATCGGTTCTGGAGGTGTCTTCTTTTAGCTCTATATATAGACATATATTTTCCCAAGTTATCAGAGGTGGTTTATCAAGAGTTTAACCTCCTGACCTAAAATTGTTTCACTAATGCATTTGGCTTCAGTATGAGGAACTTAGTTTCAATATCTGTGTACTTTTAAGTGGTTCTTTTTGTAAAAAGCATTGGTCTTGCCTTCACCTATACCAGATGTTGGGATTGAGGGTGGAGAAGCCTACGCCCAGTTCTCTGGAAGAACTCACAGGTGATAAACAGCTTGGCCATTGAAAGACTTGTTTGCCCAGCCATGAGTACACCCACCCAATCTCATCCCCTCACACCTGCCTGCCCAATGGAGACCTGACTGATTTTTGTATTCAGCAAGCTTTCATTAAATGTAATCCACATAGCCAATTAACCCCTCATGTTGTTGTTGTTGTTGTTATGTGCCGTCGAGTCAAACCCGACTCATAGCGACCCCTCCTTGGGTTTCCGAGGCAGTATCACTATGGAAGTAGGATTGCCCAACCTTCCTTCCGAGGAGTGGCTGGTGGGTTTGAACCGCCAGCCCTCTGGTTAGCAGGCAAGTGTCTTAGCCACTATGCTACCAGAGCTCCCAACCCCTCATAGTGATCTTTATTTTTAATCCCTCTCCAACCTTGACATGGGAGCTCTGGTGGCGTAGTGCCTAAGACATTTGACTGCTAACCAGAAGGTTGGCAGTTCAAACCCACCAGACCTCTCCTTGGAAGGAAGGTTGGGCAATCTACTTCCATAGACATAACACCTTGGAAACCCAAGGAGGGGACGCTAAGAGTCTAGTTGAATCCACAGCAGTGAATTTGGTTTAACCTTGCCATAAACTCCAGCACCTCCTGACATTCCTGTTAGACAATTCAGTTACACCAAAAGCATGGTTGGCAAGCAACATAGATTTCATTGAAGATTTTATAATGGACAGAAAAAATAAAGTTTATGTGTCACTTTCCTAAGCAAACTCCCTTAACTTTGTTCTTCAGACTTCTGCTTCCTCTAGTCCATGACTCTTTCCAGTTAATGAAATTAAAATGAACATCATTAAATTATTTTTTCTGAAACTAGAGGTTACCCACAGCATGAATTTGGATTGTCAGCTATTGCACAGATTCTATCAAGTTTGTCCAGCCTTGGATAAAAACTCAAATTAGTCTACCACTTTCTTGTCTTCAAATTACTTGAACTGTACCTTCATTCCATCGCTTTATTTTGTATTCACACATTGATAATCATTAATTTTATCTTGTCTGTGCCTTTTCTTTGACATTAGTTCATAAAAATTAAATTAGCACTTATTGATAACAAATGAAAATAGAGTGGAAGTATGCACGTGGTTGTCCAGATGACCCTAATATACTTTTATATATAAAAATATGTATACATTTATTATGCATATGAAAAAAATTTTAGGATCTAAATAATATATACACTTGAATTCCTGAAAAACAGAGCTTAGGGCAAGGTAAAAGACAACAGTCTTCATAGTGGATTATACCTGTGTGTGAACAAATGAAAATCCTCAAAATTGAGCTTATAAGCAACATCATGATAAAGGATGAAGAAATGGAAATTGCAAAGGATTTTATTTTATTTGGATCAACAGTCAGCACCCTTGAAAGCAGCAGTCAAGAAATCAAACAACATATTACATGGGCAAAATATGTAGCAAAAGGTCTCTTTAATATATTAAAAAGCAATGATATCCCCTTGATGAATAAGATGCTCTTGATTCAAGCTATGGAAGTTTTTGATTGCCTCATATGCATGCAAAAGTTAGGCAAGAAAAGTAAGGCTGAAGAAGAATTGTGGTGTTGATGAAGAGTATTCTGATAGTTGAAGCTGTGTGTCAACTTGTTTGGACCACAATTCTGTGTGGTTTAAGCAATTGTGATGTGGGTTTTTCCCATGATGGAATCAGATGTACATTTTTGAGCTGCCAATCTGTTGAAAGGAAGTTTCCCTAGGGGTGTAGCTTGCTTCCAATATATTTATAGACCTCCTGGGAAAAGAGACATCCTTCTGTGGATTGGGATCCTGTTGTGCTGCCTACAATGGTCCATGAGTGAACAATCCACCATTTGGCCTGGAGATCTTGGATTCATCATTTGTTGGAGCCAACAGCCAGTACTGCCTGCCAACCTTGAGCTTGTCAGTCCCTGCAGCTGTGTGAGTTGGGAAATGCCTCCAGCTTGATGTTTGATCCAAGAACTTGGGACTTACCAACTTCTATAAGTGTGTGAGCCATTTTCCTAAGATAAATTTCTCTTTCTCTATATGTAT